TGCGCCGGCGATGGCACGTTGAAGGAGAGGCTCCTTCGTGAACTTCACGTGTGTCTCTTGGGAGGTCTGTCGAGAGTTCTGGGCGGAATCCGTTGTGGCCTTCCCCTCGGCGTGTCGGTGGCATCCTTGTGGCTCGCCTGGGGCGTCTTCGGGGCTTCTGCGACGTCGGATCTCCAGCCCAAGAGGGGCCAGAACGAGCCGACGAGCTTGGCCCATCCCCGGGTCCGTGCCCTTCGTGCTGGCTGTCTGCTCGGTCCTCGCGCCAGCTGCTGTCTTCTCTCGGCCGCTGTCTTTGCAGACTTGCTGCGCAGGGTGCGCGCGCCTGCCCTGCTGGCCTCTGGCCGCGTGTCCCGCTTCCCACCGCCTTCGCTGTTCGCCGACCCCCGCGCGGCCAGCGCCCTCCGCCTTCCCGTTCTGCTCCTCGAGGCAAGCCCGCTGAAGACCGCCATTTGGGACCCTCGCTGCCGTCTGTCCATCGCGCCACCGCGCCAGTCCAGCGTACTCGGCGGCTTTCCTTCGAGGGGGCACCGGAGGGCGCACTCGCGAGGGATGAACATCACGATAACGATGATGAGGATGAGGATGAGGATGGTGATGATGGTGATGCTGATGATGATGACCATGACCATAATGATGGTGATAATGATGCTGATGCTAATGCTGATGCTGATGATCATGATGATGATTATGATGATGATGATGATGACGAGAATGATGGTGATGCTGGTGACGATGGTGATGATGATGATGATGGTGGTTGTGATGATGATACTCATGATGATGATGATGATGATGATGATGATGATGATGATGATGATGCTGATGCTGATGCTGATGCTGATGCTGATGATGATGATGCTGATGATGCTGATGATGATGATGATGATGATGATGATGATGGTGACGATGATGATGATGATGATGATGATGATGATGATGATAATGACGATGATGGTGACGATGATGATGATGATGATGATGATGATGATGATGATGATGATGATGATGATGATGATGATGATGATGATGATGATGATGATGATGATGATGATCGTCATGGTAATGATGATGGTCGTTGGGATATTGCGGGCGGCTTCACGGTGGCCTGTTGGAGGCAGTTTTGATACCTTTTGGAGGACATGTGGGTTTGTTGGGGTTCTGTCGGGGGGTCTGGGGCTTGGATCCCTTACGCGGCTCTTTGGAAGAGGCAGTTGGGTTTGTTGGGGCTCTGTTGGGCCGTTTGAGGCTCCTCTTGGTGCCATTCTGGGGGCATTCGAGGGCCATCTTGGGAGCTCTGGGGAGGCTTTGGGGGTCGTTTCGCACGGAAGCTTTCACGAGATTGGGGTGAACGATGCAAACGGGAGGGGGAAACAAGTTTTCAGGCTTGCCTCTGGCTTCTGGAAGGGCCCCATAGGGGGTTCTCGGGAGGCAGGGCGCCGAGAAGAGGCCCACACGGCCGAGGAGGGTGCCGTGAGGTTGTCAGGACGGCCCATGAGAACACCCGCAGGTTCGAAGATGTCCGAAAGAGCCCGCGGAGATGCGCGGGGGCTCCAGGAGAGGCGGAAGGAGAGGGCCACCATCATCGCTAAAGTTCTTGTATGTGATTAGAGGAGAGGTGGAGAGGCATCCGGAACGGCCGAAGGCGGCCCGAAGGACGGTCCAGATCAGCCGAAAAGAATCGGGGGAGGTCCCCCAAACCAGCCCAGAGTGCCCCCTGAGAGGTCTCTGAGAGGACCTGGCGGCGCCCAGAAACCCAGCACGTAAAAAGGGGGCCGTTTTGGGACGGAAGTGGTGGCCACAAAGCGCCCCGGGGCGCAGCCGGGGCCTTCGGGCCGGCGGAATGAGCGGCTTCCAGGGAAGATTTTAGGAGGGGCCGTGGGGGCTCAGAGGCATGGGTCGGTATGAAAATCGCGCTGGTGAGAGGACTTACAGAGAGCATATTTGGAAGACCATGTTGTGGATCTCACACGCAGTACCCAATGGGGCGGCTGATCGCTTGGCTCATTCCGCCGGCCCATCTTGTGCCATGGTTGGCGTTTGCGTGCGCGTTCGTGGGCCACGCGGCGCTGCTGGTCGGCGCTGCTGCGGTTGTGGGTGAGAATCTTCATGGGTTCTTTTTGGTGTCTCTATTCCGAGGGTTTTCGGGGGGCTCTGTGCGGCAGTTTTAGGAGTTTTTGGGAGCCTCCTGGGGGCGCCTTGGATGCCTCTTTGGGCTCTCTTGGCGCCTCATGGGGGCATCTTGGACCCTCTTGGGGGGCTCTTGGGGGCCGCTTGGGGCAGCCTGGGCGCCTCTTGGGGCCGAAGGCTCGAGATGCCCGTTCGGCTTCCTTCTTTTGGGCCCCCTCTTGGGGCTGTCCTGGGGCTCTTTTTTGTCCGTCATGGGAACCTCTGGAGCCGTCTTGGGACCCTGTTGGGCCGTGGTCCGACTTGGAGCGCACCATCACAACCATAATATCATCCTCATCCTCATCATCATCAGCAGCAGCATCATCAACATCATCATCATCATCATCATCATCATCATCATCATCATCATTATCATCATCATTATCATCATCATCATCATCATCATCATCATCATCATCATCATCATCATCATCATCATCATCAGCTTTGTTTCTCCCTCCTCCGCCCTGCCCAGGTGACTCGCTGTCGCTTCGAAAGCTCGGCGGCGCGCCCGCGCGATTGCAGCGGCTGCGCGGCGGAAACTGAGGGACGAGCCCCCCCCCAATGCCAACACGCTGAGGCCCGAGGCTTCACCAGGTACCGAAGTGCTCTGCTGACGAGCCGCTCAAACGTACGGTTCAGTCGGGCTTGTCCCTCTACAGGGGGAATGTTCAAAAATAGTCAAAGAATAGTCCGGGGACGATTGTTCGACAGCTGCTTGACTTTTGTTTGAATTTGTTTGGACTATTTTTGGGTTTCCCTTCAAAATCTGCCTGTACGGAGACGCGCCCGACCTAAACGTACGGTCAGGAACCTCAGCTGAGCGTGTCGCTCCGCCAGCTCTGGCCCTACCACGCTTCGGCAAGACCCGCAATGCACTCCACGTCCACCTTTCCAGGCGCCAGCGTCTCGAGCCTCTCCGCGCCTCCCGCGGAGCGGAGCGACGCACTGTCCGCTTGCAGGACGCAGCATGTCGCCAGGGCCGCCGCCGCGACACGCCAAGCAAAAGTGCCTGACCATAAAGCCGCGTCGTCCCTTCCCTCGAAGAAGAAACGCCACAAACAGAAACTGTTGGCACTCCATGCGGATTTCTTGGATCCGCGCTGGGCCTTCTTGAATCACCGCGTGGGTTGTTAAGTATGCGGATCAAAGGGGGTACAAGTGGATGCCAAGGTGGGTTATATTCGGCCTAGCCTAGTTCAGTGGGCACAGGTGAGCTACGTGGCTTAAGGGGGAAACGCTAAATCCGCTAAGTGGGCGGATGCCACCTAGCCCGGATCCGTACCTCCCCAGGTTACGGAGGGCACACCTGGCCTCCTTATGAACCAGACTAGGTCAGATGTAGCCCACCCTGGCACCAACCATTTCGTGACCCCCCTATCCGCTTAGCAGCCACCGCGGTGATCCAAGCTGGTGCACACTCTTGCGCGGCGCCCACGGCCAAGAGGCCGGCAACCATCGCATCCGCTCCGCCCCCCCTCTTCGAGGCCCCGCATGCAGCCAGTCTTGGCCCCACCGCCCGCCCCCCCCCCCCCTGCAGAGCCGGGCGCTGCTGGAAGTGCCCCTGGCCCCAGGTGCCCCCAGGGTGAAGTCGGGCTTGTCCCTCTACAGGAGGAATATTCAAAAATAAGCACACACACACACACACACAAAAAAAATCAGTATGGGGGACGATTGCTCGATTATTTTGGAACCGTTTTGGAATATTTGCTTTGTCTATTTTTAAACATTCGTCCAACAACTCGCCTGTAGGAGGACATGCCCGACCTGACCCCAGGGCTTCCGAGGAGGCCCCCACGGCCTCCAGAGAGCACCCCACCACGAGGCACGGAGGGCCCCACGGGAGTCCAAAAATGGAGCGAGGAGTTGAGCCAAGGGAGGACACAACCACTCGGACCCGATGCTTGGAGCGTGCTTCTTTTTTGTTCAGAGGAGGAAAGGTACCCATACCTCTACCCTCCCCTTGTTTTCCCCTTTCTGGGCCTCCTGGGCATCCGTCGTCGCCACCGCTGGATTCGCCTCGAAATCCTGGTCAGAACACACCCCAGGAAAGGTCTGGGGGGCAGCGGTATCGGTACCTTTTGGTTTCCCCATTTGCTTGGGGCATAATGGGCATCATAGCCCCTGGTCCCCCCTCCCCCCCCCTTATAACGTAACGTCCATGCCCCCCAGTGCGCTCCGGGCACTACCGCCGTGCGCACGGCGGGGGAAAGGCGTTACATTATGCCCGCCCCCTGGCCCCCCCCCCCCTATAATGCCCATTGTCGCCGGAAACAAAGAAAACGCGCTCTTGGCGGTTCCTGCATTGCACGGCCCGGGGCGTTTACAAAAGCAGCCCTGCCCTGTCCGATTCCCGCTTTGGGTGCGTTTTTTCTGAACGATATCGCGTGTCGGGTTGATTCTTATGAGGGTTGGTTGTTGTGTTTTCTGAAGAAGAATAAGAAGAAGAAGAAGAAGAAGAATAACAAGAAGAAAAAGAAGAAGAATAAGAAGAGGAAGTGGGCTCTGCAATCATGATGCTGACGCAAGCTGGCACTGCACTATTGGAAACCATCGGCCATCCAATGTTGCACCATTGTTTCAGCTACCTCGCAAACATAGTCCGTGACGGTTGCACTGCCCTTGCATGTCCAACTTCACGTGTCGATGTTGATGATTGCTGGCAGAAAACCCTCTCCCCTTCTGGGCCAGGGGCAGCTTCGGCCACCCCCCGGCAGAGGGGGGCCCCCCGCAGCGCCGCCGCCCCCCCCCGGCGGAGCTGGCTTCCCCGCTCGATGGGCAGAGGGCGGCGCACCGCAGCGGCGGCCGCCTGAGAGCAGCGCGGGCGGCGCCGGATGGGGCCTGCCGGCGCGCTCGCGAGGCTCGTCGCCACGCGACTGGACTCCAAATCTCTTCTCAATCGACCCCCCCCAAAAAACAGCCGGAGCCCCTCCAAACACGACCTAAAATATTCCGGACCCCCCTCTTCGACGGGGCGCCTTGATAAACCCGACCCCCTAAGCTCCAATCCAAAGAAAGCGCCCCAATTAGCCAGACCCCCCCAAGTTACAAAAAAGGCGCCTTAAAAAACCAGACCGGGGGGACGATTGATCAGGGAATTGAAGTAGACTCCCAGATCCAAAAATCACGACGGGTTTTTTTCGCTATTGTCGGCCTTTGGGGACCCCCAGGCCTCGGGGCCGTCAGAGAACGGCTCAGGAGGGAAATCCGATCCCGGGGTCGCGGCATGTCATGACGTCGGGAAACTGGACTTTAGGCCACTTGGATGAGGTCCGAGTAGTTGGGGACGGAGGATCGCGCCACATCGTCGATGCATCGCCGGTGCGGCTCAACGCAGAGCCCGATCTGCTTCACGCCAACGTCGCCGATGCATCGCCATCGTCGCTGGTGCATCGCCGATGCGTCGGCGATGTATCGGCGATGCGGCGCGATCCTCCGACCGCATCTACTCCGACCCCATCTAGGAGGCCTCTGTAGCAGGATCTCAGTCGGACCGAGGCATGAGATCGAGGTCGGCTCGGGGAGGGGTGCCCTAATGTTCTTCGTGTTTCTGTTGAGGCGTTCTCGTGCCATCCTGGGGAGGATGCCTTCGTGCGTTCTTCAGTTGGGACGGCGGAGGGTCTCCTGTTCTTGAAGGATGTTTTCTGTCCTGCGGTGCCAACTGTACTGCATTGTCAAGAGTGCATCGCAACATCAGCCCGCAGCCTACGCCTTGGGGAATACGTCACGTCAGAGTCTGTCAAGACATTCCCGACGGTTCTTAGCGATGGGAGTCTGGCAGGATTCCCCCAATCCCCGAATCTGGGATTGCCCGAAGAAGCCGCACGTGGCACAAGCGGAGGGGGGCTCGAGGTCCGAGGCTTGGGCTAAGGCTTAGAGTTGCTTGGCTGCGCGGCACGCAGCTCCGTGCCTGTCGGCACGGAGCTCAGCACGCAGATGGAGGACGCAGGTCTGGCGCGGCGCGTTCGCCAACACGTGAGCCAACACTTGCCGAGCCAACACGCAGCGTGCTTAGCGCGAACCTGTTGAGCACGGTACGTGCTGCGTTTCAGTACGGGTGCATCAGGACATGTACGGCCCGAGGGTTCCGGACGTCGTCGTCGAAAGGCTTGATCTTCGGTCTCGGATGCCTCGTGCGCCCTCTCTTGCCCTCGTCCCCTCCCCTCCGACGTCCGCATTTTGTGCGTGACGTGGTCCCCTGGGAGTCTCGACGACTTCTCTGAAAGCGGGCTCTTCATCCCGAGTCGTGTTTTGAAGGTCTTGGGGTCGGGAAGCGGCTTCCAGAGCCCGAGAGTGGCGAAAGACTGGACGCCCCGATTCTTGTTTCGGCACCCAGATTTGAAGTTCGCTGTTCTCCGAGCAGGTGTCAGGCATGGCTGCTGTGAGGATAGATCGTTCAAGAACGCATTCGGAGCGTTCTGCAGCGCTTTGGAAAGGTCGCGGCGCCCGATGCATGACACTTCCTCCAGGCCCGCCGTTTGACATAGGCCCACGATTTATGATCATCCATCTTTGTCTTTGTCTTGCCTTCGTGTGAAGCTCTGGAGTGTGGGCGGGGGAAATATGCGGGCCAAGTGGGCTCCACCCACTTAGCGCAGCCATCTACCCCCTCAGCGCACTTGTATATCTGACCCGCTTATGAGCTAGAATCTGGCCGGATATACCTTACCCACCTTACCATCCAACCCAAGCGGTGATCCAAGCAGAATTCGTTGAAGGTCGAGCCGTTGGGTTTTCTGGTCATAGCTCGGGTGGTCGGCGGCTGCTCGGGACGATCCCGACACCCTGAACGCTTCTCGGCGAGGCACAGTTGCTGCTTGAGAGCACCCCGAGCCTGGAAAACCGAGGAGTGGCAACGAAAACGTCCGCAACCCCCACGGTGATCCGAGTGCCCGTCGTCGACCACAAGTCTAATCTGGCATATCCTTATTTCACTCCGCTCAATCCTTCTCAGTCAGGCTTAGTCCTGCACTTTCTCTGGACTGATCCGGCTCAATGGTCTACCAGTCTGGCTTAACACTGTTTACATGCTCTTACGCAGTTTTCCCAGGAGTTGTCTTCTGGCGAACAGATCAGGGACAACGTCAGGGGGGGGGGGGATGGGGGGGGGGGATGCGCTCAGGGGGGGGGGGGCGCATTCACCACCAATCGCTCACTCATCGCCGATAGGGGCCCGATGGCCCACCCCGCCCCCCCAAGTGCGGACACGCCATCGGGGGCCCAGCGCCCGGCGATGCAACGCCGCTTCCAGCAAGACCTGTTCCCCCCTCTCCCTTGAGCTGCTCTCCCCCGGACGTTCCCACTGACGCCCACTGGAGGAGTAAGAGGAGGAGGCGCAGGAGCAACAGCACGAGCAGGAGGAGTACCCCGACCAGGTGGAGGAGGCGAGTGTGGATAGCACCGCTGCTCCTCGCGGCGTGGCTGTGCCACCTCGCCCGGCGGCGGCGGCGCCGCTCGCTCGCGGACGAGGGCGCCAAGCGGCCGCTCGCGGCAGGCGGCCGTTCGTCGTCGTCGTTGTCGTCGTCGTCGCCGTCGCCGTCGTCGTCGTCGTCGTCGTCGTTGTCGTCGTCGTCGTCGTCGTTATCATCATTGTATGATTTCATGGTCACCGTCATCATCTTCTTCATCATCCGCATCGGCATCATCATCATCAGCATCAGCATCAGCATCATAATCATAATGAGCATCATAATGATAATCATAATGATCATCCTGATGTTCATCAGCATCATGATCACGACCATCAGCATCAACATAACCATATCATCATCATCCTGATCATCAGTATCATCATCATCGTCATCATCATCGTAATCATCATCAGCATCATCATCATCATCATCATCATCATCATCATCATCATCATCATCATCATCCGTAGCCAGTTTGCCTCAAGCGCGAGACACGTGGCTCTTCTGACTGCGCGCGCCGCAGGCTCCATCTCATTGCAGCAAACATGGCGTTCTGGTCGGTGTCGGTGTGCTGCTCGCGCTGCTGTCTACCACTGCTGGGCGGCAGCCCGCCACTGCAGCGGGCGCGGTGGAGGCCAGCGAGAAACTCGCGCCCAAGACCACCCCGATTGATATGGTAATCAAGCTGTTGAAGGACCTGACCGCGAAGGTCGAAGCGCAGGGCAAGGAGGAGGCGGCCAACTACGACAAGCACCCGTGCTTCTGCAAGGAGCAGGCCGACGGTAAGTTGTACGCCATCGAGACACCGGAGAAGAAGATCGAGGAGCTGAACGCCCAGATCGAGGCACTCATGGCCGCCCTGGAGCAGCTGGCCAACGAGATCTCGACGCTGTCCCAGGATATCGTGGCGCTCGGGGGGGAGATCAAGACGTTGGGCGAGGCCCGTGTCGAGGAGCACGAGAAATATGAGGCCCACAGCGCCGAGATGGTCGCCGCCATCGAAGCGTGCGAGCGCGCCACGGAGGCGCGTAAGGAGTCCAAGGCCGCCATGCAGGGCAAGGCGGAGCTCGCGCAGGTCCACGCCGCGGCCTCCTCGGGGGCGCAGAAGGGCTTCGTGGTCCCTCACCGCCGAGCTGGAGGCCGCCCTCAGCGAGATGTCCCGCGGGCCGACAGACGGCAATGCCTATGAGTCGACGTACCACTGCAACGATCGCATCGAACTCTTCGACGACCTCAAAAACCATTAAGGAGAAGAACGATCTCGACACGACGGAATTCGAGAACAAACAGCTGTACGACAACATCCGTCTCGAGAAGAGCAACGAAAAACATTTCAAGGATATGGACAAGGCCGAGAAGGAGAGGGCGGAAGCCGAGAAGTCGGCGGAGAAGGCCGCGGCGGTCCAGACCCAGTACGTGGAGACCAGGGCCAGCCGCCGACGAAGAGTTCAATGGTGTGCTCAAGTCCGGGAGCGAGGAGAAAGCGGCCTTCTGGGACCAGCGCTCCAGGATTCGGGCCGAGGAGCTGCAGGTGATCGCCACGGCCATCGAGTCGCTCGAGTCCGGCGCGGCGCCGAACTGGAGCGCGAACGAGAATCTCAACGACCTGCCGTCGCAAAAGAAGACGCCGAGCTTCCTGCAGCTCCGCGGGGGCCGCGGCGGTCAGAAGGCTGGCGGGCGCGAGAAGGCCATGGCTCTGCTCAGCTCCGCGTCGCAGCGCCTGCGCAGCTCGATGCTGGCCATGGTCAGCCTGCGCGTCGAGGCGCCCGTGCAGGCGACGCAGGGCGGCCGACAGGAGGACCCCTTCGTCAAAAGCGGATGGATGAAGACCGGGGCCAGTCATCATCATCCTAGTATTGATTTGAGGACTGCCAGTTGCCACTTGGGCATCCTCATCTGTCTGGGCCTGTTGAAGGCGCTGCTCGACTGAGATCCGCACACCCTGAGCGAGAAGGACTTCTCAATGAGGCTGTCATCCTGTCGCTCGAGCAGCAGGCGGACCATTTCGTCGAGGTGCGCCAGCTCATGAAGGACCTCATCGCGCGCCTGGAGGCTGACGCCTTGCCCGAGGCCAGCCACGAGGAGTTCTGCGACGAGGGGGTTAGCAAGGCCGTCGGCGAGCGCGACGAGGGGGTCGGCGAGTCAGGGACCATCAACAAGGATATGACCATCAAGACCGCGGAGGCGTCGCAGCTCCCTGTGGAAATCGCAACGCTTAGCACGCAGATCGCGGAAAACAAGAAGGGGCTGCCGGAGGCTACCGAGCTGCGCGCCGCCGGGTTTCATGCACATTTTGGGACCTTCTGTGAGGCCGAGGCTGGCCTGGCCGCCCTGAAGGAGGCCACCAGTCAGCATCGCTCGACCGACGCCCACCCCCATCCCCATCCCCGTCGAGACCCCGCCAAATTGCCCCTCCAATTGGGGACGCACCCCTCGAAACCCGAAGGGAATGGCCTATGTCCCCATCGGGGGGGGGGGGGGTAAATTGGCCAGTTGGGCCCAGGCCGCGCGGCTGGGGATGGGGGTCCGTTAAACGATGCTCAATCAGCATCCTGGAGACCTCCTGCGGGGGGGGCGGCTCCAGCCAGCAGGCTGCTGCCGACGGGCAGGCCTGGCGCGACCGAGCTGCCTTCTGGCCCGAGGGGGGGCGAGCTCCGGCTCGAGTCAACCACTTCGGATCGCACGGGCAAGACCGTGGCAGACTACGCGCAAGACGTGTTCGATGCGGACCTTCACGGGTCGCAGGAGGCCTCAAAGGGCATCATCGGCACACTGCAGGTGATCGAGGCCGACTTCGAGCGCGCCATCTCGGCCGCCGAGGAAGCGGAGTCCCAGGCCACGGGCTCGTTCCACACTTTCAAACGGAGAATGAGGCGGACATGGCAGCAAAGGACACGGAGAAGACCAGCAATATTGATGGTGATGATGATGATCGCGCTGTCAGCGCGATCATCAGCATCATCAGCATCATCTTCACCACCACCACCATTATCATCGCCATCAACACCGTCACCAGCATCATCATCACCACCGTCATCATCTCCACCAACATAATCAACATCAGCATCATCATGATCACCATCACCAGTATCATCACCATCGTCATCACATCACCATAATCATTACATCCATATGTGCCAGCATCACCAGCATCGCCAGCATCGCCAGCGTCATGATGAACGTTTTGAAGAACTTCGACATGCGCGCGCGGCCGACGCGCGATATGGCCCGCATAGTATTCGTTGACACGGATCGCGCCCCCTCCCCCCCAGCACGCGCGCAAGGGCGCCCGAATGATGTCAGCATGCGGCGCGAGAGGCCCGCGTGGCAAAATTCCATGAACATGTTGAAGCGCCTCCGGTTTTATTCAACAGTTCGCAAGAGCGCGCGCACATTTTTTGCAAACTGATGCTGCGAAACCATGTGTTGTTGTATGTGTTGTGGACGTTCGGATTTTGGAGAGAGCATGATCCACCGCCGCTTTACTGTGGAAAATTGCAAACCTTTTCCTCCGGAGCCCGGGGGTCGCCCCCCCCCCCCCCCCCCTCCGAAAATCCCCCCCCCCCTCCCTTTACCCTCCCCGCCCCCCTCCCCCGGCAAAACCCGCCTTCCCCTAACCGTCCCTGACCCCTCCCCCCCCCCCCCGCCTCCACCTGGAAAACCGGGTGGGTCACTACCAGTTCGAACCCTTCCCCCCCCCCCCCCCCTCCGGATCCGGAAAACCGGGGAGGGCCACTACCGGTTCGAACCCCCCCCCCCCTCGAAAACGGAGGGGGGTCACTGCCGGTTCGACCCCCCCCCCCCACACGCACCGCCAGCAAACGACTCCCGGTCCCTACCACCGTCCGCATCACATCCCCCACTGTTGTTCCCAGCACCACTGTCCTCACCACCACTGTCCCCACTGGTTCCACCACCGCCCCTACTGTCCCCACCAGTGCCCCACCACTGTCGCACTGTCCCCACTGTCCCCACCACTGTTCCCACCACGGTTCCACTCTCCCCACTGTCACCACGGCCCCAACCACTGCCCGACTATCCCCACTGTCCCCGCTGTCCCACTGACCCCTCCGCTGTCCCACTGAACTGTCCCACTGTTCCCACCACTGTCCCCAGTGTCGCCGCCGCTGTCCCCACTGTACCTCTGTCCCATTGTCCCACCGCCGTCCTCGCCACCGCCTTCACCACTGTCCCCACCACCATTGTACCCTCCAGTGTCCCATTGTTTCCACCTCATCCCCACTGTCCCCACACCACTGTCCCCACCACCACCGTCCCCACCACTGCCCACTGCCCCCCCCTGTTCCCACTTTTGTCCCCACCACTGTCCCCACCACTACCGTCCCCACCACTGTCCCAGTCCCACTGTCCCCACCACTGCCCCGCTGTCCCCTCACCACTGCCCCCACCAACACCGTTTCCACCACTGTCCGCACCCCCGCTCGGTTTTCGAGGGGGGGGGTCGGGAGACTCGGTCTCTTTACAACCAGAACAACCACTTTACAACCAGATGGGTTACTTTACAACCAACATAGGATTGGAAAGTATGGTTTTTCATCGAGAACGTCAACTTTGCAACCAGAACGGCCCACTTTACAACCAGAAAGGACAGCCAGAACGGGCCACTTTCGGACCACTTTACAACCAGAACGGGCCACTTTACAACCAGAACGGACCACTTTATAACCAGTTCAGAGTGGCCGTGCGTGCTTGGGCGTTCCGCAAAGCGCTCCAGAGCAAGTGGGCGCTCCGAAAAATGCTCCAGGGCAAGTGGGCGCTCTCAAAAGTGCTCCAGGCCGCGCGGACGCTCTGAAAAGTGCTCCGGAGCACGTGGGCGCTCTGGAGCCCGAGCGCCTGAACGCTCTGCGCAGGCCCCAGCGATGCCTCTGAGCCCGAGGACCTGGACGCTCTGCGCAGGCCCCAGCGATGCCTCTGAGCCCGAGGACCTGGACGCTCTGCGCAGGCCCCAGCGATGCCTCTGAGCCCGAGGGCCTGGACGCCCTGCGCAGGCCCCAGCGATGCCTCTGAGCCCGAGGACCTGGACGCTCTGCGCAGGCCCCAGCGATGCCTCTGAGCCCGAGCGCCTGGACGCTCTGGCGCTCTGAGCCCAGCAGACTATGACAGGGTTTGCTAGCAGGGGCCAAGCGGCCTCAACAAGGAAAAGGAGGAGGAGGGGGAGGAAGACGGCCTCCTTCCTATCCGAGCTACGGAAGAGCAGGATGACGAGGAGGAGGAGGCGGAGGAGGCCGAGGAAGAACACAGGGGGAGCCAAGGGATAACATGATCAGGATGAGGAGGGGGAGGAGCGGGATGAGCAGGATAAGGATGAGCATACGGAGGAGGGTGATGCGGAGGAGGAGGATGCGGAGGAGGAGGAGGAGGACGAGGAGGAGGATGACGAGGATGAGAAGGAGGAGGGGGAGGAAAACGGCCCCCTTCCTACCCCAGCTACAGCGTGAGCAGGGGCATGAGCAGGAGCAGGATGATGTGGAGGAGAAGGATGACGAGGAGGAGAAGGGCGCGGGGGAGGATGATAATCAGGATGAGGACGGAGCGGAGGAGGATAACGAGGAAGACGAGGGGGGCGAGGCGGAGGCGGGGGCGGAGGAAGAGGAATACGACGATGAGGATGATGCTGATGCTGCTGATGATGATGACGATGGCGATGATGATGACAATGGTGATGATGATGATGATGATGATGATGATGATGATGATGATGATGACGATGCTGCTGATGATGATGCTGATGATGATGATGATCGCTGAGGCTGCTGATGCTGGTGATGATGCTGATGATGATAATGTTGGCGACGGTGTTGGTGATGATGATGATGGTGATGATGCTGCTGATGATGATGATACTGCTGATCATGCTGGTGATGATTGTGATGGTGATGGTGATGATGGTGATGGAGGACCGAATGGCTCGTTGCCCTGCGCTGTCTGCGCGCGTCGGCGGTGTAATCTGGCAGCGCCGACCCTTCCCTGCGGCGCGCAGCCGGTAATGATGGGGGAGCCTAAGAGGATGGAGGAGGAGGAGGAGGTGGAAGAGTAGTAGGAGGAGGGCGGCGACGACGACGGCGAGCAGGAGCAGGAAGAGGACGAGCAGGAGGACGCGCAGGAGGAGAAGCAGCAGGATGAGGAAAATGAGGATGACGAGGAGGGGGAGGAGGAGGCGGAGGAGGCCGAGGACGAACACGGGTAGCCAAGGGATAACATGATCATGATGAGGAGGTGGAGGAGCGGGACGAGGAGGATGAGGTTGAGGATAAGGAGGGGGATGCGGAGGGGGGGATGCGGAGGAGGAGGAGGAGGAGGATGACGAGGAGGAGGATGACGAGGATGAGAAGGAGGAGGAGGAGGAGGAGGTGGAGGAGGAGGAGAAGGAGGGGGGGGAAGACGGCATCCTTCCTATCCCAGCTGCGGAAGAGAAGGATGACGAGGAGGAGGAGGAGGCGGAGGAGGCCGAGGAAGAACATAGGGGAAGCCAAGGGATAACATGATCAGGATGAGGAAGGGGGAGGAGCGGGATGAGGAGGAAGAGGGGGGCGGGGGGGGAGGAGGAGGAGGGGGGGGAGGAGGAGGAGGAGGAGGAGGAGGGGAAGGAGCAGGAACAGGACCAGGAGGAGGTGGAAAAACAGGAGGGGCAGGAGGAACGCCTCGTCCTCCTCCTTCTCCCTCGCCTCGTGTTCCTCCTCCTCCTCCTTCCCTTCATCTCCCTCTCCGTCCCCCCCTCCTGTCCGTCCTCCTCCTCCTCCCTCTCTCGCCCCCTCCTCCTCCCTCTCTCCTCCTCCTTCCCTCTGTCCCTCCCTCCCTCTCTCCCGAAGGCGCTGGCCCTCCAGCTGAGCGGCGGCGCTTCGCCACCTCCTGTCGTGCCTGCCACTTTCCTTTGGTCTCACGCGAGGTTCCGCACTTTCCGTGTTCTGGGCTGGGGCTCGACGGCTGTGGTTTCGGCAAGGTCGGTTTCCATTCCCGCTGGGCGCGTTCTCGTTTGACGCGCCTTACTTCCATGTCTACCTACTGGGGCGTTTCCACTTCCGCGGTCACCGCCATGTTCAAGACAGTGGTCGGGGTCTTCACCAACGGCCTCGCATTGAACCCCTTCGACTGCAGTTTCCATTGTGACCCCGCCACCACCACGCTCACCGCTGCAGCCCCGCTACCCCCGCAGTTCTGACTGGCCCCCCGCTACCACCGCAGATCCCATTGCAGCCCAGCTACCACCGCAGTTCCCACCGCTGCCTGGCGACCACCACAGTTGCCACCGCAGCTTCCCAACACCATGCAGTTCCCATTGTAGCCGCTACCACCACATCTCCCACTACAGCTTCCCGCTGCCATGCAGCTCCAGTCTTGGACAGAGCAAGCAATGGCAGAACCGACCGACAGAGCTTCGAGAGCAGGTCAGAACCATAATCCGCCCACCAGCACGCAACATACCATAGCGCACCAGTTCGTCGCGTCACCAACGCGCGCGCAGTGCTTCTTCGTGCGCGATGGGCAACTTTACAACCGACATGCCTCAGAGAGCCCAAAGCCACCCTTGCGCTTGCCCACGGAGATTTCAGGGAAAGGCCCGCGCGCATTCAATATGAGTTTCCACTTGCCTGGTTGTAAAGTGCCCTTCCTTGTTGTAAAGTGCCCTTCTCGGATTTTGCAAGCTGGTTGTAAAGTGGCCCTTCTGGTTGTAAAGTGCGCTACTGGTTATAAAGTGACCCGCGCGCGTCGGGGGGGGGTTCGAACCGGCAGTGGACCCCCCCCCGGTTTTCGAGGTGGGGGGGGGTTCGAACCGACAGTGACCCCCCCCCCCTTTCCACGACGAGCTGGGGGGGGGGAGGGGTTCGAACCGGCAGCGACCCCCCCCCCGGTTTTCCGGAAGGGGGGGGGGGAGGGGTTCGAACCGGTAGTGACCCCCCCGGTTTTCCGCCAGCAGCGGTAGAACACGCTCTTTCGGACTTTGACATCGCTACGGCAACAAAGGTTTTTTTCATATACGGACTGTGGCATGCGCGCGCGGCGACGCGCGCGCGCATTTCGTGTTATTGCGTAAAGGATTCTCGCGACGACACTCGCGCGAGGGCGTTCGAACGATCTCGACATGCGCGCGCGATGCCCCTGTTGGTAGAATTTCATGGAATTGGTGCAAAGGCGAGATATATATATATATATATATATATATATATATATATAATCATACGCACCTCTCCGAGGGAGTGGAGCTCAGCGGCGATTGATGCGTACGCGGGGCGCCGCGTCCGCGATTTTTCTGGCCGTTGCGCTAAGGGCATCCTCGAAATTTTGAAAACCGGTGGCGCCCGTCACGCAGATCGCGACGTCAGGGTTTCAAAACACATGGGAATTTCAGCGTTCTAATATAAAACCTTCAAAAAACACATTGTAATTTAATGATTTTGTCCCCGAGTCTCAGAGAATGACGATTTCGCCTCGGACATCCTCCCAAAATCGAGCCCCGACGTACCTTCTGGTACCCCAGACCTTGCCTCGGAGCCGCTTGGGAGCCTCCTGGAACCTCCTGGGGCCTCCTGGGGCTTTCTGTACCTTCTGGTACCCCAGACCCCGCCTCGGAGCCTCCAGGGGATCTCCTAGAACCTCCTGGGCCTCCTGCGGCCTCTTGGAGCCTCTTGGGGCCTCCTGGAGCCTCCTGGGGTTTTCTGGGGCCTCCTGAGGCCGCCTGGGGCCTCCTGGGGCCTCCTGGGGCCTCAGAAATACATGCACACACAGAGACACAAATCACACCCAACACATCACACGCTAGACAAACATAACACACACACACACACACATACACACACACACACAACACCCACAACGCACGGAAAACACGCACAACACAGAGCACACATCACACACACACACAACACTCACAATCCTGGGACCTCCTGGAGCCTCTTCCGGTATCCAAGTCGGGCCTCCTGAGGTTTCCTGGGGGGCCCTGGTACACACATCGCAAGGTGTGGCAACCCCACTTGCGCTCGAGTGCGACCTCGATCTTAGATTCTTCTGCGTTCACCTCCTGCCTCTTCCCCTTCTCTTAGGCACGCCCTGGCGGCGCCGCCCCATTCTCCATCTCCGATCCTGCAGTCATGGTGTTTTCCTGTTTCAAACGCCCTTTCAATGTTTTTGTATGTGCCTGGGCACACACGTCCCACTTGTGTGTATATGAATCAAAAATCGCAAGAGCGCGTTCACAATTTTGTGTTGGAAATCCTTGTTTCGAGCCCATGTGTTTCTATCTGTTCTTTGGACACTCGATTTTGAACTCCTTACGAACTTGCAAGTTTTTGAATGATTTCGGCATGCGCGCGCGACGACGCGCCCGTGTGCACTTCGTTTCATTTTCGTTGCAAGGGACTTTTGGACATTCCGGATGTTTGATAAACGAGTGCGCGCGCATAGTTTCTTTTTGGCAGAGGATGGCGGGGGGGGCGATACCAGCCAGCCTGGCTGGGATGGTTCGAGCTCATATTAAGGATGCTCGATAGGGCAGAGTTATGTGTAAATTGCAATTCGAAAACGGGTACCGATAATCCGGGGGGTAGAGCCTATTTTTTTATTTTTTGAATATGGAGAATCGACGTTGTGCAATCCAGGGCGGCGGCGAAGCAGCGAAGGGGCGGCGAAGGCGCCCACATAGCCGCCAGACCGAAGACGCGGCCCAGACGGCGGTCGGCGACGGGGTGGCGACGGGGCGGCGACGGTGGCCACCTAGCCGCCAGATCAAAACATTGGCGCAGCTCCTTTGAACAGGAGTAGGGCCTCCTACGTGCCACCAGTGTTTGAGGGCAAAGCGCTTCCATATGTGTGGGTTGGCCACATGGTCGGACCCCCCTCGCTCCCCGCCTCCCTCGTCAATGCGCAGGAGTGACCAGTCGCCAGAGGGACATATTGGTGCGGGCCCATGGTGTCCTCCGACTACCGAGCGCGATGCGATGGCAGCGGCTTGCGCGCTTCAGAGATCGGAAGTTGGGGGGTGAGATCGCAGTGAAACGGAGACCCCCCACCAGGAAATCGGTTTAGGTTTCGTGTTCGTGTCGTGCGTGCGGGCGAGGCGAAGCTGCGCGTAATTCTCCTGTAGCTAGGGCGAAGTAGGAGCGAAAGTCCGTTCCCGTCCGCCGGTGGTTGGGAGGTGTCCCAGTTGGGCCGGGCGGTGTCCCGGGTGTCCCGGGTGTCAGTAGGACGTTTCCCGTCCGCCGGTGGCCGGGAAGTGTCCCAGTTGGGTTGGGCGGTGTCCCGGGTGTCCCGGGTGTCCCGGGCGTCCCGGGCGTCCCGGCGCTAACGCATGTCGTTAATTTCATAATTCATTTTTTTTCGGCGCCTGCGGCGGCCTTTCTTATTCAATCCAGCTTATATTATCCAATCCATCTTGTCCAATCCAGTATCTTACCTTATCCAACCTATCTTGTCCCATCTTAAGCCAACCCACCCAACCCAATCCATCAATTCATTTGTTTCTGCGCCTGCGGCGGGCCAATCCAATCCATCTTATCTAATCCAATCCATTTCTTCCAATCCAACCCATCTTATCATATCCAATCCATATTATCCCATCCAATCCAATCCACCCAACCCAATCCATCAATTCATTTCTGTCGGCGCCGGCGGCGGGCTTTCTTATCCAATCCAGGTTCTCTTATCCAATCCATCTTGCCCAATCCAGGTCAAGGTGACAGGCTGGAGGTCAGTCAGGGTGGGCATTTGATCTCAATCCCCCCAACCTCCTCATCGCCTGCAGGACGGTCGTACAGGTAGAAAGTGGTACCGATAGCGCTGCTCGTCCTGGACAGCTCACGCCGCCACGGCTGAACTCTCAGCGACACTTTGATCAGAACGCGCCCCAGGAGAGGTCCAGGGAGTTGCGGTATCAGCACCCGTTTGTCCCCCAATCGCTCGGGTTTGGCTCCCCATCGCCACCCGAAATCAAGGGAGGAAAAACCACCCGGACCGGATTATCGGCGTTTGCTAAGAGGCTTTGGGCGTTTGCTAAACAGCTCTGCCCTGTTCGATTCCTTCTTCGGGCACGTTTACTAAACGACTTCGCGCGTCGGGGTGGTTATTATGGGGGTGGATTGTTGACCTCTACGAAAACCGAGCACCAAAGGTCACTGATGCATGGGTTTTTGTGTAGCATTCCTGCGTGTGGCTGGCTCCCGGACTCCCTCCCCCGCCGAGGCCGTGAGGCCAGCGAGTTCCGCCCCCTCCGCGAGCGCCTGTCCGTCGTCATCACGACCTCGGCCTCCGGGCGGGACCCCTCCACGGAGATGTTGGACAGGGTGCCCTCTCTACGGGAGGACAGGATCGAAGGATCGAAGAGTCATGGCGCCAACCTCGCAGAGCGAATTTCGTTTGGAAAACGATCGGATGGGCCCGGAGTGTCCCGGAGAATTTCGTTCCGGATTTCGAGGTCAAATTCGTGCGGATTTGTTATGGCCAGGAATGAAGACTAAAACAAATCCACCAGACATTCATTTCGTTTTTCGCTCGCCGCTTCGGGCAAAAATCCACGCAGAAATCCTCTGCAGCATGTCTGCAAGGCAAGTGCAAAGAGGTCGAAGGATCGAAGAGGTAACAAAAAAAGATCTGCAGCGACATGAATTGTCGGAGTTCCGCGCGGAGTTCTTGCCCCATGGCACGCTCCGCGCGCCACGTAGGGAGGGCCAGCGCCGATCCAAGAAATCCGCGCGGAATTCTGACATGTTGTTTATTTTGGTGTTCTAGTTCTCAAGGAAAGGGTACCCCCTCTGCGGGAGGGAAGAAGTGTCGGAGCCCTGTGTTCTCAGAGCAGGGGATGGTCACGATGTTGTTTGTTTCGGGACTGCCGTTTTCGCACCCGGGTGTTTCCCCGGACTGCGTTCAACCTAGTTATCCCAGAAAGTGCCCTGCCCTGTGTAAATCTGGTCCAGTGCTCCTTCGGAGCAAGATCAAGCGGTTCCAGGGTTTTCCTGGATCACAGATGTGGGCCCCGAGCAGGGCTCTACCCAGGCCAGGTCTAGCTTGGATACGTCGGGTGTTCGAGAGCGGCCAGATCTGGGCGGCGCAAAAATCGGTCGCGACGGCTGGTTCTGTGTGCGGTGTTCGGGCTCTTTGTGCTCAGACCCCCTCGCGTTGTGAGAACAACAAAAAAAGCATGCCGGGCGGCGTGTGGAAGTCTGCGGCCTCGGGGGGCCCCTCACCAGGCCCCGGGACCGTCAAACAACGACTCGGGATGAAAAGCTGGTTCTGGGGATCGGGCGCGAATCAATGAGGCAGCAAGGAATGGGGGGGGGGGGCAGCGAAGGCTGCGGAAAAGGGGCCCTGCAGGGCCCCTAAACGGGCCTTTTAGGGCCCAGAAGGGGCCTTCGGGGCCCAACAAAAAGGCACCTTTCTTCCCCCTTTCATTTATCGCTCCCCAATCGCTCCCCAGTAATTCGCGCTCAAGGAGAAAGTCGACATCTCTGGTGGTCGACATCATGTATACTGATCGGGGGTCTTGGGGGTTCGCTTCCCCGCCCCGCGGCTGTCGTCGAATCATGATAAGTGAGAAGTTCGATGTTGAATTGGAGCAGCAGTCACTGGGCGAGCACAAGGGGTCCGACTAGAATTGGTTTTCGACTCAACGGCTCGATCGTGGTCAGAGAAGGCCTGCAAATGATGCTCTGGCTAGTTCGGTCAGGCTGGAGTTCCTGGTGCTTGAGCGCATGTTTTTGCAGCCGTTGCCCCTTTTCGAAAAGTCGTGACGGAAGGTTCCGGGCAATTTGCAGTGTCTGGGGGGCCCTCACCGACCGCCATCAAAAACGGCTAGATATGGAAAGTTGGTTATCAAGAGAATGGAGAGAGGAAGCACCACCCCGATTCCCATAACTGGCGTTTTGTAAACGGCCCTGGGCGTTTGCTAGACAGCACTGCCCTGTTCGATTCCTCGTTAGGGTGCGTTTGTGAAACGGCCTCGCCAGTCGGGGTGCTTATTATGAGGGTGGCCGCTGCTTTCCAGATCAAAGGTTCGAACCCTCTGGCTGACCACGCTGCGAAGCAGTCACGACGTCGAGGAAAGCGTACTGCTACGCATCTGTCAACACTGACAGCAAGGAGGAGCGACTCTCCGGGGTTCCCCTGGCGTCCCTTCCCTTCGGCCCACCCTTGTGGCCACCTCCGCTGGCCGCGCCCCCCGCTCGAAGGGCGTCGAGGTGGCCGTCCACGGACCAGCTCTGCCTCTGCGCTCGGCGCCACCAACACGCAGCCCAGCACATGCCGAGGGACGCGCCGGCATGGGCGGCTGCAGCCCGTGCACGGCCCGGCTCCTCCGCACCGGCGCGCTCCCGAGAGGCCCTCGCGCTCGGCGCTGCAGGGCGCCAGCCTCGCAGAGCGGACTTCGTGCGGAGCACGGCAGGGTGGGCCCCAGAGTGCTCCGGAGGATCTCGTTCCGGATCTCGAGGCGAGCTTCGCGTGGATTTTGTTGTTGGCCAGGAGCGAAGACCAAGACGAACCCACGCGAAGTTCACTCCGTCGTTCGCTCGCCGCTTCGGGCAAACATCCACGCAGAGATCCGCTGCAGCATGTCTGCCAGGCCGGTGCAGTGAGTCGTGGTCCCTCCGCCAGGGCGTCTTCCCTGGCCCGTCGCCTCGTTCGCTTCTGTCGGGCCCTCGGTCGGTCGGTCCCCTGTCCTCGCGCGGCGCGCGTGTGGTGCAAGGGCGTTGGAGAACTCGTCGCCAAGCGCTGGCCCAAACAAGCAGAAAGTCCTTCGCATTCGAGGGTCCAAGGAGTTGCCATCTCTGCCTCGGCGGAAGGGCGGCGGAAGCAAAGCGAGGCCGTCTCCGCCAGCGGAGGGTTGGCGGAGGATTGGCAGCAGCCGGCGAAAGTAAAGATCGCCCCCCGAAGGGATGGCAAGGTTTGTGGGTTTAGGGTTTCCGAGACATGTCCACGCGCCGGAATGGGAGGAGGATGCTTGGGTTGGATTCGTCGGGGCATCCACCTCCATGAACGAGGCAGAGCAGCTGTGGTGCTCCTTGTCCTACAGGGCCGGGAGAAGATGCTATCCAGGCTCTTGGGTGATCGCCCGCCTTGGAGAAGATGCTATCCAGGCTCCTGGGTGATCGCCCGCCCGACGTCTGAAAGCCTGGCCAGGCGAGATAGGGAAGGGAAGGGAAGGGGGGCAGAGGAGTGGTCTCCGCGCCCGCCCTCCCGCCTCACGTCCGCTTCGGAGAGCCCTGGACGTGGAGGGTGCGCTGGGAGAGTGGAGGAGGAAGGCGAGGAGGAGGGCAGAGGAGGAGGAGGAGGCTGAAGGCAGGAGGGCGGAGGAAGGAGGAAGAAGGAGGAAGGAGGAGAAGGAGGGGGAGGAGGAGAACGAGGGGGGACGGAGATGGGGAGGGCGACGAGGCAAACAGGGGGGAGGAATGAGGGGGAGCTCGAGAACAGAAGCCCTAGAGATGCAGGACGAAAGGGCGAGGGGAGGAGCTTAATTTTAGAGGGACGACGCCGACAACGATGACAACGTGATGCTCACGCCCTGGATCCTGATGGTCCCCACAGGTCCCTGCAGAGGCTTCCAGGGGCCTCCAGGGGCGCGACGAGGCCTGGAAGCATCCGAAGGCCTCCCCCCTCGACCATCCCAGACCCGCGATGCCGTGATTGCAAAGGTTTTGCAGCTGGCGCCACCGACTCTGAAGGAGGAGGACGACAACGACGACGACGGCGGCGGCGGCGGCGGCGACGACGACGACGTCGACGACGACGACGACGACGACGATGACGACAATGACGACGGCGACGACGGCGACGACAACGACGACGACGACGACGACGACGACGACCACGACGACGACGACGACGACGACGACGACGACTTCCCCGCGAAAGCCTCTAGAGGCCTCTGGAGGCCCGACACGGCCCAGAAGCGTCCGAAACCTTCCCCCCTCGACCATCCCAGACCCCCGCTGTCGTGATCGTGTCCGCAGCGTCGACCCACAAGAGATCAGATCTCCACCAGTTCCCCAGGGCCAGCGTTTCATCGGGAGTCGTCATCTGACAATCCAGGGGCCCAGCGAGGGCCCCACACAGAAGTTCGAAAACGGTCAGAAACATACGATGTGGTGCTCTCCCGCCCTAGAAGTCCTGGGAGGTCCCCGAGGCCTCCAGAGTCGAGGGCAAGAGGCGCCCAAAAACTTCCCCCGATCGACCCTCGAGGGTCTAGGAGGGGCTCGATGTCTCCACCAATTCGTTTGTTCGGGCACAAACGGGACGATCTACACGAACGACTTCGGTGCATAGACGCCCTAGCGACCCACAAGTTGGGAAGCTGGGGGGTCTGTACACCGAGCTCCTTAGTCGACCAGACGACTTGGTGTATACCGGGCAACGCGAGAGCGCCGACCCAGACAAGCCGATCGAGGACATCTGCACCAGTTCGTTCAACATTGGCATTCGGGTGTTCAGGTGCAGGGCAGCCGGCTTCGCTAATCGCAGTGAGTTTCGCCGGATACATTCGGCTGTGCTTGGACGTCGATTAACTACCTCGCCGGAGTCCACTCGGAATTCGGTACCGTGCGCACGCGGAGTGACCCTGGCAGCTTTCGCTCACGGGCGTCTCATGAAAGGGGGCTCTGTCCACCCCCGAGTGTCTCGAGCCCCTCCCATGGCCGAGGGAGTGAGACTTGGCGCGACGGCGGCGACGACCACGCGACGGCGACTGCGGCGCCGGGGGCGTTTTTTTTCGGACGGGGCTGCGACGAGGAAAAATCTGTTCCGAAGCGTTCTGGAACGCTCCTTGAGCTCTCCGGGACATTCTAAGAAGGCCGCGGCGCCTAAGACAACCTACAGAGCTACCGGATCGTTGAGGGTCTCGATCTCTAAGTTATCCTCACCTGGATTGATCTTCGTCGTGGCTTCGTCTTGCCGAGGATCGAGGAGTGTCGAGGATAATCGAGGATCGAGGAGGAGAGAGGAGCAGGAGCCGAGGAGGCTTGCGCAGGAGAAGCGAGGATCCAGAGAGGCTCGAGGATCGAGGAGGATCGACGAGGATCGAGGAGGATCGAAGAGGACCGAGGATCGAATGGTCCCCCCCTCCCTCGCCGAGGGGGCCCTGCGCCGCCGCGAGCGCGCGGGCAGCGACGCCGCAGCGAGGTGCTCGACAGCCTGCAGCTCGCCGCCGGCACCCTCGCGTGCGACACGGTCATCGTCTGCGACGGCTACCGCTGCGCCGTGGGGCAGGCCCCGTGCCCGCGATCGCGGCCGCCACCGGCACGGGCCTCTGCGCTCTCGACGAAGGGCCACCAGGGTTAAGTCGGGCCTGTCCCTCTAGAGGAGGAATATTCAAAAATAGTCACAAAATAGTCTGGGGACGATTTATGGACTATGCTTGAATATGTTTGAGCATTATTGGGTTAAAAAAAAAATCGTCCAAATCCGCATGTAGGCTATAGGGGGACAGGCCCGACCTAACACCAGGGGCAATGATAGGAGGGATAGCCAGAGGAGGAAAAGGCGCGAGTCCAAACAGCTTGCCCAAGACAGGAAGGAGGACAAGGTATGCATAAGAGAAGAAGGAGGAAAAGAAGCAGGACGTGCCTCTGGCCTCCCCTCCTCTTCTCCCTTTGTGGGCCTCCTGGGCCTCTGGCGTCGCCACCGCTGGATTCGCCTCGAAATCCTAGTCAGAGCGCACACCAGGAGAGGTCTGGGGAGGGAGTAATCAGCGGTATCGGTACCTTTTGGTGCCCCCTGGATAGGCATAGGGGGATGCGTCGTGCGTCGATCCCCAACCGCCAATTGATCGCCGACCGGGGCCCGAGGGCTCAAACCTGCCCAGGAACGTGCGGATTCACGATCCGGGGCCCATCGCCGATCCATCGGCGATGTATCGCCTGTTCCAGGCCGATGTTTCCCCCCCCTTTGCCAGTCCGCCCTATCGTTGCCCCTCAGGCCACGGACCGACCACAACGATGTTGAAAACGAAATGGCGTTCAAAACGAACAACGAAATAAAGCTCGACGATGGAAAGCCGAACGTTCAGAATGGACATGGTGCCAAACGACACGAACAACGGCACGAGGCGTTTCAGACAAAAACGAAACACGGAACTAAGCACAAACGAAGCACGATACGAAAAGCAATACGAGGCCCAAATGAAACTAAACAGCGCGACAGCGACCTCCTGGGCGGGACCCCTCCACGGAGGTGCCGGACAGTGCGCCCCCCCAGTTCGGGGGGGGGGCGGGATCGGAGAAGGAAACATACGGATCGGCATCAGCACATATTGTCGGAGCTCCTCGCAGATTTCTTGAATCTGCGCTGGGCCCCCCGGGCGGCGCCTGCAGAGCCACCCAGGCGCGCTCCGCGCGCCAGGGAGGAGGGCAGGCGGCAGGCGGCAGGCGCCCTCGCCCCGCTGCAAGCCATAGGGGGGGCCCTCACGGCTCGATGCCGGCCCGAGGAGATGCCGTGTCGGTCGGGAGCCTTCGAGACGGGGGTCGGCCAGAGCGCCGCATCCCTCCTCCTCCTCCTCCTCCTCCTCCTCCTCCCTCCTCCTCCTCCTCCTCCCTCCTCCTCCCTCCTCCTCCTCCTCCTCCTCCTCCTCCTCCTCCTCCTCCTCCTCCCTCCTCCTCTTGCGGGATCCTGCAAAGCCAGGGTTGCGTTGACCCGGCCCGGGCTGGTGCGCAGGATGCTGCATCGGGGCTGGACAGAACCCCCAGCAGTGACACGTCGATTAGTGAATTGTCCGTTTTCGGTTCTCGAGAGGGCGCCGTGGCCGTTATTTTCCAGGCTTGCGCCCGCCAGGTTTGGGCCTCAGGTCGTTTTCACTAAACCACGTTTTACTAAAGGGGGGTCTGTCCATCCCCGACTGCAGAGCCTAACTGGCCCGGATGTGCACTGACCCGGGTCATCAGAAGCCAGAGTCAAGGCAGGGTCAGGAGCTCCAGCCGTGATGCTCTAGCAGCGCTGTTCGGCGGCGCGCCCGGGGGGCAAGTGCGGAAGGAGCAGGCCTACTCAGAAGGCCGGCTGCGAAGTTTCCCGTGTCTTCGGAGGAGGCTCAGAAAACTGTTCAGGAGTGTGTTTCTTCATTGCTTGGGGCATAATCGGCATCATGCCGCCGGCCCGCCCCCCTCACCCCCCCTATAACGTGACGCCCCTCCCCCCCAGTGCGCTCCGGGCACTGCCTCCGTGCGCGCGGCAAGGGGGAGGCGTTACATTATACCCCCCCCCTGGCCCCTCTCCCACCCATAATGCCCGTTATCGCCGACCAGAGGGTTCCAAAGGGGGTTTGGGGGGAGGGGGTTCTCCAGGAGGGGTCCCCCAGGGGCTCCGCACCCCCTGTTTTGACAAGGCTCCGAGGCCCCCGGGGGGCTCTCTGGAAAACCACCTGGGGGGCTGCCCGCTACACCTTAGGCGATGCTTAAGAAAACTTACGTTTTCGGTCAGAGTCTCGATTATTCTTAATTTTTCAATGGAAACCCGAAGATTTGAATGGAAATGTTGGGTTTTTATTCTAGTTCTGAGACTATGAATTTCTTAACCCATGATTTCTTAAGCATTTCGCAGGGTGTATCGCAGAACAACAAGACAAAACGCGCTCGAGGAGGCCCGCCCCTCCTCGGACGTCTGGTGCTTTGGGGGTCCTCGCTCGGCGCTCCGGCGTCCGCTCGGGGCGGCCCGCGGGCAGCCCCCGCACAAAACGCCCTGGGCGAGGCGAGGCCGCAGGAGCGCACCCACGAAAACGCCGCAAGAATTGAGTCGGGCCTGTCCCTCTACACCTCAGGCGATGCTTAAGAAAACTTAAGTTTTCGTCCATAGTCTCGATTATTCTTAACTTTTCAATGTAACTCCCAAGATTTTGATAGAAGCTCTGGGTTTTGTTCAAGTCCTGAGACCATGAATTTCTTAACCCATGATTTCTTAAGCATTTCGCAGGGTGTAGGGGAGGAGTATCCCAAAAAAGGCAACAAATAGTACGGGGACGTTTTTGTTCATGATTTGTTTTTTGACCATTTGGGAACATGTTTGGCGCAGTCTTCATTTATTCTTCAAAATCCGCCTGTAGGGGGACACGCCCGACCTAATCCGAGGCTGGGAAACCGCCGCGGACCCACGAGAACGCCACAAGAACCTTTCCGGCTCCATCGGCGTCACCCCAACATACTTATACTATATGGGCGTCGCCCCCCCAGGGGCGACGCAGGCACCGAGAAGTCTCATAGTATATGCGTCGTGGCGGGCGCTTTCTGGCCACACCGCTCGGGTAACGATATACTACAAGGTGGGTATACTATATGTTCGGGTCGGACGCGCGCCTCCAAGGAGAACATCTAGTACTAGTGTACTAGTGTGTCTTTGTGCGTCCCACTCCAGGCCCCTCCAGGCTCGCCGCCGAAGTGTGCACGAGCAGCCAGGCGGTCCTTGCGACGGCCTGCTTGACGGCGGCGGCGGAGGCCAGCTCTCCCCCCCCGGCGGGCGCAGGGCGCCGCGACGGCCCCGCCCAAGTACCGCGCGGGCATCGTCGACGCGGCCTCGGCTGCTAACTACGAGATATACAAGGCTGGCCGTCGTCGACGGCGCCGGCGTCGTCGTCGTCGTCGTCTCCGCCTTGAGGTTCGCCACCACCCACCAAAACACCCCAATCCAATACGAAGGCCTCAACTCGCCCTCCATTTCCGATGGGGGGGGTCGGGGGACAATGAGAAAACACAAATGGAAGCCCCGCCCCCCCAACCCGGAATTCGGGTCTTCGGGTTGGGTTGGGGTGGTCTGGTAGGTGGTCAGTACGGGAGTCATGGTTTTTGGACGCTCTTGGCTTTGCTTGAGCTCCCAAAGGTCAGAGGCCCAGAGGGGGCCGTACTTCGCCGTCGCCGTCGCCGCCGCCGAAGTCCTCCTCCCCGCCTCGAGGTTCGGGAGTCATGGTCTTTGGGCCCTTTTCATGTTGTTTGAGCCTCCAGAGTTAAGTCGGGCCGATCCCTCTACAGGAGGGATATTCAAAAATAGTAGAAAGTAATATGGGGACTATTGTTTGACTATGTTTGAGCATATTGGGTGTATTGTTCTGAGTATTTTTAATTTGTCACACAAAATCTCCCTGTAGGGGGACAGGCCCGACCTAACTCCAGATGCCTCCAGACGCCCAAGGCGGGCTGTATTTCGTCGTCGTAGCCGCCGGTTCGTAGTCGTCGTCATCCTGGATCCTCCGCATCTTCCTCGTCGGTAATCGAGTAGGGTCAAGTTCATTCGAGTGGACTGACCAATCAAGCAACTGCCCAGAGATAGTTATAGACCGCTACGGAAGCGTCGCGACACTCAGGATTGCAGGGAGAGGCCAGTATCACATTGCAAATTCAGCCCGCATGAGGGCTCGCGGGCTCGCATCGGTGGAGCCGCCGTGTCTCAGCTCACCAGGGGCCGCGCTGGCCAAAAGCGAACCTGCACCTGGACATCTGCACTATACAGTCGACCCACACATTGGACGGATGAGCGACTTTTCCAAGGGTGCCCTTGCATCCTTACTTCCTCGGCGTTGGCCGCATCCCGCTCGAAAAGCTTCGAAATGGGCGTCCAAGGCCCTTGCATCCGTATCGCGCATCCTTATGATACGGGCCGGCAGTGATCAGCAGTTCCTGCAGCCAGGAGCCCGTGTGTCTCAGGCCGTGTGCGGACACGGCGAGCCCCCTTCTTGGCATGAAGTTGCCTTTCCAAACGGATGTCGACGTCTCCCCAGGTGGGGGGAAGGAGAAGCGACACCAACACCACCAGGGGGCCACCTCCAGCGAGGAGGTCCACGATGCCTCCCCGAGCTGGGGATCAGGGATTTCTCGAGCGAAAGGGGGGGACCATACCACCAAAGGGGGGGGTCCCTGGCTTCTCCCGCTGGTGGTCCCTGGTGGTGTTGGTGTCGCTTCTCCATGCTCCTACCGGGTTCGCCAACCTCCGAAATGTCCACGCCGTTGCAGGAGATGTTGTTGGAGGGCGTTCTTGCTAGCATGGTGCGTCGTGGCCAAAGCCGTTGTGAGCGCAGTGCTTCCCGACGCGCATGTTCAGTGGTCGTCCTTGCAGGAACAGCGGCTGCATTGAAGGAGCACTACTGCCGTGCGACAAGACGCTGGGGAGCCGCGTGCCGCCCCAGAAGATTTGGCCCGAGAGGCCCCCAACCCCGTACGAACTCCTCCGGAGTGACGAATGAGGCTCAGAGGGGTGGAGGGTTTCTCCGAAGGGCTTAGGCGACCCCTCCTCCTCCTTCTCCTCTTCCTCCTCCTCCTCCTCCTCGATTTCCTCCTCCTCCTCCTCCATCTCCTCCTCCTCCTCCTCCTCCTCCTCCTCGATCTCCTCCTCCTCCTCCTCCTCCTCCTCCTCCTCCTCCTCCTCGATCTCCTCCTCCTCCTCCTCATCTTCCTCCTCCTTCTCCTCCTCATCGGGTCGCCTACGGTCCCTGGGGAAACCGTGCACCGAGCGGCACGGTGGCAGATTTTCATTGTCCGTCGTTGAAGGAGGAACGGCTGCACTGAAGGAGCATTCTCGCCAGCACCGGGTGCAGAAAGAAGCACGGCGCTCCGAGGAACCGCTGGGCAGCTTGACCACACGATCGCAAGTTGTGGTAATGAAGGAGCAAGGCCTGGCACGCCCAGAACAGTGCCACGAGCTGGTTTTTCCTCGGCGAGGACCATCGAGGAGCATCCTGGATCTTCGCACGAAAAAAAAACACACACGCGTGACATCGAAGCATGCACGGGGAATGGACGTCCGAGCAATGGCAAGACACACGAAACGGGAATGTTATATCTCAACACATTCCAGCTCGGCCCTCGTCAGCGCACGTCTCGGCCCAGCATCGGCGTTTGGGCTGACCAGGGGTCAGACTGGTCAGGAACATGCCGACACGGGATACTCGTACGTGAGGCAAGGCACCCGTGCATCCTTCGATCTTGGGCGTATTCTACATGCTTTCTGCTTCCTCGGTCCGAGGGTGCCGTGGCATCTTGACGCGTTCTAGGCGCCTTCCAGCCTTGTGCTCTATCCTTACCCCTGAGTTCGACTGTTACCCACCTTGACATCCGCTTCTAACCCCGCTGCCCCCTCAGCACCTCCCGCGGTGGAGGTCGGGTCGTTCGGTTTTCGAGTCGCACCTCGGATCTTCGGCGCCTCTTCGGGACGATGTGGGCTCCCACCGGGCGCCCCCTCGGCGAGGCGCAGCTGCCGGAGAGCATGCCCGTGCTGAAGAGCCGTCGAGAAGCGACGAGAACGTGCGAGAGCCTCGCACCTCGAGCCTGTAACCTCCTCTGTACCCTGAGCACGTCCCGTGGTGACCTCCCGTGGTGACCCCCCGGTGCCGAGGAGAGCGGAGCGGGAGCCGAGGATGTCTGCGCAAGAGGATCGAGGATCCAGAGAGGCTCGAGGACCTCCTCCTCCTCCTCCTCCTCCTCCTCCTCCTCCTCCTCTTCCTCCTCCTTCTCCTACGAGCATCGAGGAGGATCGACGAGGATCGAGGAGGATCGAAGAGGATCCAGGAGGATCGAGGAGGACCGAGGATCAAATGGTCCTCCCCCTCCTCCTCTTCCTCCTCCCCCTCCTCCTCCTCTTCCTCCTCCTCCTCCCCCTCCTCCTCCTCCTCCTCCTCCTCCTTCTCGTCCTCCCTTCTCCTCCACTTCTTCCTCCTCCATCTTCTCCTCCTCCCCCTCCTCCTCCTCCTCCTCCTTCTCCTCCGTTTCCTTTTTCTCCTCCTCCTCCTCCTCCTCCTCCTCCTCCTCCTCCTCCTCCTCCTCCTCCTCCTCCTCCTCCTCCTCCTCCCCGAGGGGGCCCCTCCCGTAGGGGAGGGGTCGGGACCCTAGGGTCCCCCTGGCGCAGGCGGGGAGCGCCGGGCCCGAGGGGCGAAAAGCCCCCGCACCCCGGGGGACGCCGCCAAAGCGCGGTTTCCTTCCCCCGGGGGGGTCGCCAGGCCCCGTGTGCTTCCCCAGGGCGGTGCTGGGTTCCCCCCCAGCACTTGCCGCCCTGGGGCGGGGTCGGCGGCCCGTCCCTGTCGTGTCGCTCGTTCGTGTCGTGTCGTTCGTGTCGCGTCGTTCGTTTCGTCCCCCTGTCGTGTCGTGTCGTGTCGTGTCGGGGTCCCGGGGTCCGAAACGCGGCCACCCATGGAGTGGGTGGTGGGTAGGGTTGGCGCGGAGCACGTGCTCCTGCGCCCCCTACCCCGACCAGGGAGCGCGGAGCACGGTCTCCTGCGCTCCCTGGTCGCGCTTAGGTCGCGCCACGGGGGCACGGCCCCGACCGTGGCGCGACCGTCTTTTTCTCGCTGGCACTCGCCACGCCAGCGGAGTCATGTGGCTGTTCATGGGTCGACCCTTAAAAAAAAAATCCTCCTCCTCCTCCTTCTCCTACGAGCATCGAGGAGGATCGACGAGGATCGAGGAGGATCGAAGAGGATCCAGGAGGATCGAGGAGGACCGAGGATCAAATGGTCCTCCCCCTCCTCCTCTTCCTCCTCCCCCTCCTCCTCCTCCTCCTCTTCCTCCCTCCTCCCCTCCTCCTCCTCCTCCTCCTCCTTCTCGTCCTCCCTTCTCCTCCACTTCTTCCTCCTCCATCTTCTCCTCCTCCCCCTCCTCCTCCTCCTCCTCCTCCTTCTCCTCCGTTTCCTTTTTCTCCTCCTCCTCCTCCTCCTCCTCCTCCTCCTCCTCCTCCTCCTCCTCCTCCTCCTCCTCCTCCTCCTCCTCCTCCTCTCCCTCGCCGAGGGGGCCCTACGCCGCCGCGAGCGTGCGGGCAGCGACGCCGAGCCCGCGCTGCGGCTCGTGGAGCTGGGGGCCCGGTGCGGCTTCGGGCACGCGGTGCGGGCCGCGCTGGAGCACGTGAAGACCCCGTACGTCATGGCGGGCTCCTCCTTCTCCTCCTTCTCCTCCTCCTCCTCCTCCTCCTCCTCCTCCTTCGGTTTTCCTCCTCTCCTCCTCCTCCTCCTCCTCCTCCTCCTCCTCCTCCTCCTCCTCCTCCTCCTCCTCCTCTTCCTCCTCCTCTTCTTCCTCCTCCCCCTCCTGCTCGTCGGTCTCCTCCTTTTCCTCCTCCTCCTCCTCCTCCTCCTCCTCCTCCTCCTCCTCCTCCTGTCCGAGGGAAAATCACGACGGGATTTAGCGTGCCCCTCTGCAAGCGGAGTATTCAAAAGTAGGAAAACCCAGTCTGGGGGCATTGTTTGTCGACAGTGCGTTTTCCATGTTTGATTATGTTTTGACTATGTGATTATTTTTCTTCGAAAATCCGCCTGTAAGGGGGACATGCCCGACCAAAGTTTAGCTGCCCTGATGCAACCGTCTTGAGACGCAGAACGTGCCGGGTTCAAGACGTCCGTGTCAACACGTTGCGCGTCGGCTCAATGTGTTGGCACACGCTTTGGCGGACGCATCGCGCCAAGCGTACGTTTTCAATCCACGTGTTGAGCTCCGTGTCAAAACGCTACGAGTTGCGCGTTGCGTATCGGAGTGGCTAGGATCACCACGGGAGGTCCACCATTTTCGGCCTCAAGGGGCCCGTACTGGGCCTCGGGAGCGGGATGAAAACCAGGCCCGTGAAATGGGTCCAGACCTTTTGGGGATCGCCACCGCCGCCGCCGCCGCCGCCGCCGCCGCCGCCGCCGCCGCCGCTGCTGCTGCTGCTGCTGCTGCTGCTGCTGCTGCTGCTGCTGCGGGGGCGGGGTATCCCAGACCCCTCGGGTCATACAAAAAATCAGCGGAGGAAAAGGTACCCATTTCGCTACCCGTCCCTCGTTTTCGCCCTCTTGGTCCTGGGAGAGGTCCGTGGAGTGACCGTATTTGTACTTGTTGATCTCCCCCACAAGTCATGACGACGCGATGCTTGTTATTTTCAGCTTCTGGGGGCCCTCGCCGAGCCCCCTGGACCGTCAAACAGTTTATCGAGACGAAAGACGGGTTCCGGGGAAGGAGTCCAGACCTCTGCATGCGGGTCCCGTCCTACAAAAAATCACGACGTCGCGGGTCTGGGATGGAGACCGCGACGTTGGGCAAGGGGAATCGACGGTCGAGGCTCAAAAATCAAGGTGTCTGGGCGTCTTGCACCCTTCTGGGGCTCTCGGGGGGGGCTTCTCGTCACCACGGCTGGTTTCCCCGCAAAATCCTGGCCAGATCGCACCCCTGGAGCGGTCTGGGATTCCCGACGATTTGGCCTACGTGTCTCAGTCTTGTCGTGTTTCCTCATCTTCTGTCCCTAGGGCCTGGCATCGCTACCCCGGACCACCGGCGTCTGCTCAGGAGATATGGGGATCTAAGTGGACGCCAACGTGGCTGATCTATCTTCATGTGTGTGCACACGCTTACATGATACATGCAGGCATGCGTGCATGCATGCATGTATACAGAAATGCAGGCATGCAGACATACGTACATATAAACATTAATATACACACATGCATGCATCAATCCATCCATCAATGCATGCATGCATGCATACACACATTCACGCATACGTACTTACGTGCATACACGCACGTGTGCCTGTATGTATGCATACATGCATACATACATACATGCGTACATGCATTCATGTATCCATGCATAGTTAAATCCATGTTTCATGAATGCGTACAACCATGAAGTCATGCGCACATGCATGCATGCCTGCACACCTATATATGTATACATATGTACATGGAGACATGCATACACTTATACACACATACACAGGCACACAGTTATACATAGACGTATACATGCATTCATGCATGCATACATACATACGTGCATACCTACATACGTGCGTGCATGTATGTATACACACTTCCACGCATGCGTCCACACGCACATACATACATGCATGCATGCATGCAAACATTTATAGCTACACACATACACGCAGACGTACGTACGTACGTACGCACGTGAATACGTACGTGCATACGTACATACGTACATACATAATCACATACAAGCATACATGCATACATGAGTTCACACATACATGCACACAACCACCCACACACATTCTTATATGTACATGTACATCTACATCTACACATACGTCTACACATACATGTTCACATACATATACACATGCACACGCATCTACGTATACATATGCATATGCGTGCGTACATCCACACATGCATACATACACTCTTGCATGCATACATGCGTACACATATACATGTGTACATACATACATACGTACATGCATGCATACATACATGCATACATGCATACATATATACGTACGTACATACATAGATGCATGCATGCATGCATTCATGCACGCATGCACACACATACATGTCCTAGTATGGCTGATAAGTGGGTTCGGAGTTCCCTAAGGCGCTTGGGTATGGGTGACGATCGGGGCGAAGTGGGCTCCGCAGGACGCGGAGAGAGGAGGAGGACGCGGAGAGAGGAGGAGGAGGACGCGGAGAGAGGAGGAGGAGGAGGAGGAGGAGGAGGAGGAGGAGGAGGAGGAGATGAGGAGGAGGAGGAGGAGGAGGAGGAGGAGGAGGAGATTTGGGGGGAAGGGAGGGGGCTTCACGGGCGGAGCTTGCTGCACGGAGCTGCCTGCGGCCCCGCCGCCGGGCGCCTGCCTCGACACGCTGGCCGCGTGAGCAGCATCGCCAAAGCCCTCCTGCTGCAGCAGCCAGCGTGTACCGTCGAGGCTGATTCGTAGGTCGACCCTGCCAAATCAGAGGTGCCCTTGTGCCCCGCGTTGCGCCACCCAGGCCTTCTACATCTTTAGGACAGCGTGGCCCTCGGAAGGGTCTTGCCCGAGGCGGGAATTTCTACATGACCACCGCCTGGAGGATCACTTTAGGGGATTTCGGCACGCCCTCCTCCTGCTCCTCCTCCTACTCCTCCTCCTCCTCCTCCTTCTCCTCCTCCTCCTCCTCCTCCTCCTCCTCCTTCCTTCTCCCTGTTTCTCCTCCTCCTCCTCCTCCTCCTTCTCCTCTCTCCTTTTCCTCCTCCTCCTCCTCCTCCTCCTCCTCTCTCCTCTCTCCTTTCTCCTCCTCCTCCTCCTCCTCCTTCTCCTCCTCCTCCACGTCCACCTCCTCGCCCTCCCCTCCCCAATCAGTGCTTGCACTGAAGGGGTCCTAGCGGAAATTGAAAGATTTGGCGAAAGTGTCCCGCCGATTTTGCTGGCCGGCTGGGTTCCCGGTTCTGGGTTCCGGGCTTCCTTGTTATCAGTTCCGGGCCGATTTCGGTGGGTTCCGGGTTCCCGGGTTCCTGGTCAATCTCCTTATCCATCAAGCCATCCACTGATTGGGGTTTTTCTTTGGTGTATCATCGTATGGTCCCACTGGCAAACTTTCCTTTCGCTACAGTCCACCAGCATGTTGTTAAGGGCGGGCTACCTTCCCAAAGGCACCCTTGCAGCCTTGTCCCTTCGGCCCATCCTCTGGCCAGACTCTTTGGAAACACGTTCGCGTGGGCATCCAGGGCCCTTGCATCCTTAATTACCACGCGTCCTCATTCATGATACGGGTTGACTGTAATTTCGCCCATTCGCCCCCCACCCTCCGGACACCAGAGGTGGTGCAGCACGACCGTCCGTTCACGCGGGCTGTGGACATCAGCCGGGTTGTCCAGGCCATGGCGGCGGACAGGCGGTGCACCCCCTTCCGCCTCCTCCTTCTCCTCGACCTCCTCCTCCTCCTCCTACTCCTTCTTGACCTCCTCCTCCTCCTCCTCCTCCTCCTCCTCCTCGCCGACCTCCTTCTCCTCGACCTCCTCCTCCTCCTCCTCCTCCTCCTCCTCCTTGACCTCCTTCTCCTCGACCTCCTCCTTCTCCTCGATGCCGAGAGGAGGTCTCAGATTCTGATCCTTGCCAAATTGCCGATAGCACAGGCTTCTCGACGTTGCGCCGCAATCGGGGAGATGGCGGGCTGGTCTTGTGCTCGCGAAGACATTCCGGGGACCGTTGCTCAGAGGATAGGGGGTTGTAAGCGGATGTGTCACATTCGTTCGGATTGAAATCATACATGGGTGTCCAGTCTTTTGCGTGGCTTCGGGGGAGTGAATATCAGGACCAGGTGGGCTCCACCCACTTCGCCATGCTCCAGACATTTTTTATGCTCATGTCGAATCTTGCCCTCCTACCCCTGCAGCCCGACCGAGCTAGCATCAGCGGGCGGCCCGACAACGCCAGCGGGGCCCACTACGGCTGGCCAGCGGGAGGCGAGGCCAGAGTTGCTTGCGGCGACAAATGCGCTGGAAAGACAGGCAGCACTCGCAGTCAACACAGCGGGGGTGAGCGCGCACGAGGGGGCAGCGCGCCTTCGAAGAAGGCGGCAGAGCTTCTGAGAAGGCACGGCCCTCCTCCCCAGACCCCCGACGTCATGATTTTTGCATGCCCCGACCCCCTGAGGTCTGGACCCCTTCCCTGGGACCGGGTGTTCATCCTGAGTGTTTGTTTGACGGTCCCGAGGGCCGAGGAGGGCCCCCAGAGGCCGAAAATAGCGAAAAACTTCCCGTCGTGAGTTTTGTCATGACCCGATGGGGTCTGGGTCAGAAGCCCGCCCAGCTTCCAAGACGGGCCCGCCTGGAAAGCCCCCTGCCTTCGAAGAAGCCCTCAGCCTTCTTAGAAGGCAACCCCCTCGTGCCAACCCCTCGTGCCAACCCCCCCAGAAGCGCTGCGCAGGCATACATACATGTATATACATATACACATACACACACACACACTCCGAGTTTGTTAATAAGCGCCAGGCTGGCATCAGCCCCTGCCGACAGACCCACCTCGACCTCCGTCGCGGGCAGCCGCCGCGCGCCGAAGGCGCTCCGACCCCTGTCGCGGCGCGACGACGAGGCGAGGTTGACCCCCGTCGGGGAGTACCCCCCCACGCTTATTAAGAAAACTAGAGTGTATATATGTGCAATAGATACATATAGATAGAGGAGCGGCTTTTTAATGGTCAACGGCTTTCGATTGAAATCGCAACGCGGTTCTGTATATAACCGTGTCCCATTGATTCCAGGAGCCGCTACACAACTAGATATAGTAATACACGTGATTCCACGGTTTTCAATATCATGCTAAAGCCGCTCTTTAGATGCCGGCTTCCGAGATTCATCCAGAATTTGTCCCGGGCTGCATTCGACTGCCAGAAACGTCTGCAGGTTGGGGAGGGCGGGAGAATGAGAATGAGAATGCGCCATGACGATGCCATATCCGAAAACCAACGCCCCCTGACCTTGAAGACGCACAGGACGACAAGGAGCACGGAGCGCGCGAACTGGAGGAACAACTTCCCGAATAACGTCCGAAGACAGCGCGCCACCATTTGAGAAACCAACGCCTCCTACTTGACTGGCATGCGCGCCACCGCCACCGAGCAGCAGAAAACGTGACACATCACAAGTCCACCATTTGGAATGCACTGATTGTAACTTGGAACATGCCTTCACCGTATTGGATAGATGAATCGCCTCATGTCCCTCGGCTCCTTTCCGCACAGGAGGCTGACCACCAGAACGCGATACAAACTGAGAGGTGCACTGCAAAAGTGAAGACAGGAGACAGCGATAACGCACCGCCTCGCCTGCCCACGATTGAAGCACCATATTCAACAACACTGAATTTCTGTACCCGAGAACTGCCCGATGACCGTGGCACTATGCATGGGATCGGGAAACAACATTTGACTAACGCACAGGAGATCACGCACGTAAGAACCGAGAAACGCATACGTGCAATTTGAAACGTGCAACAAACAAATTGCGGAATACCACCAGCAAACAAAGATACATTCCCCAAGCGGCAGTGGGAGATAGCAGTATTGTAGCTGACGGGAGCTGAACTCAGCTGGACGTACACATTGATAACAATAAAGACCTCCCCATGCGGCAGTGGGAGAGACCAGCACCGACGCGGATGAAGACAGGCCACCGCCCGCGCGATGTAGAAGATGAGAGCCGTTGCACCCACCACAAGACGTTGGGACCTGCATCGCTGCTGGTCGCAACAGTGCCTGCTGCCACTGACGAAAAGTCCCCATGCATTGAAACTACCAACCTGTTTTGCCGCTGCCCTAAACAGTACCGTATGACCCGTGGAAGTTCGTACCCAATGAGCACAGCATAACACGTTTTGCTCACCTCACCTCGACTCAGCCAACCCGACCGACCGTGCACGATGGTCCGAAACAGGTGCCACTCAAGCGCCACGGTGAGGCGTCGAGGTGCGACTCAGGACAGAGCGCTAAGCCGAAATGCTTGCGGCCTTCCTGCCCCGGGGCGAGACGCTCCTCTCGGCGCACCCGTGGCTCTGGGCGTTTGCGACGCGCCGACGGATCGCCAACGGCCGTCGGTGCGCTTGGAAGCAGCCGTTCGGAGAAGGAACATCGGCTTAGACATAATCGGCGGCGAGCGAGGGGGAGGGGGGAGGTGAGAAGGGGAAGGCCTTCTCAGAAGGCGGCGGGGGCTGAGAGAACTTCTCAGCTTTCCAACGGTCACTTCCACTCGGCGCTGGATACCCCTGGCGGCGCCTCTGGCGCAGCCCCTGGCGCGCTCCGCGCGCTGGTCGAAGTGGTCCAGGCGCCGATACATGACATCCACGACCTCCACAAGCTCATGGTCATGCCAGGCGTTTTGTTCGATGATCGCGAGCAGCCGTCGGTGCACTTGGAAGCAGCTACGGTTGGGGCGCTCGTTCAAGAATGCGCCCAGGAGCTTTCTGTCCCTGGAGGATCCCTCGTCTCATGAGGGCAGCGGTGGTATCCATGGCCAGGCCTCGATATGCGTTCCACCAGCCTCCAGAGCCCAGGTTCCTCATCCAGTGGTCCTTGATCCAATGCTCATCGCAAGATAGGCAGGCTCGATGTCTTGTGCAGGCGTGCTGCGTCGAGGGTCCTCCTCCCCAACCCGAAGCAGCACCAGCAATCACGCGCCCGCAACGGCGTGGGACGCCAAGGGTCCAGGAGCAGACACCTCATGTATAAGTGTGCCTGCGGACTCGGAGAGAGCTTCCTGACACGCCCAAAGAACTCCGTATCGACTGCGTCGTCCTTGTCGTCCTCCTCCTCCTCCTCCTCCTCTTCCTTGTCCTCCTCCTCCTCTCCCTTGTCCTCCTCCTCCTCCTCCTCCTCCTCTTCCCTCCTCTTCCCTCCTCCTCCCTCCTCCTCCTCATCCTCCTCCTCCTGCCTCCTCTTCCTCCTCCTCCCACTCCGCTGCGGCGCATGTAATGTATAGTTTCTTCTACATGTATAGGTATGTGAGTGGTGTTATGTTTGCCAGCGTGTACTCCAAGCAGTATGTTGTTGCGACCTGGCTGTGGTGTGCAAGCTATGTGGTGCAAGCTATGTGGTGTATACTGCGTGGTCCAAGCTACTTACGTGGTGCAAGCTACGTGGTGCAATCTGCGCGGTGCAATCTGCGTGGTGCAAGCTATGGGGTGTACGCTGCGTGGTCCAGGCATCATGTGGTGCAGGCTGGGAGCCATGAGCCACGTGTGCCACCTGCGTGGTGTGAGCTGCGGGGTGCAACCTGTGCAGTGCAAGAGCTGAAAGCTTTTGCCCATGGACCCCACCGCGCGGGGCGCCCACGAGGCCCCCACGGGCGGGCACCCAGCGACACTTCGGCATGTACCCCCGTCCCCCCTTCCCGGCGCGGGCACTCGAGGCCCACGGGCGGGCGCCAGGCAAAACCTCTGCACGTCCTCCTCCTCCTCTTCCTCCTCCTCCTCTTCCTCCTACTTCCTCCTCCTGCTCCTCCTCCTCCTCCTCCCCCTCCTCCCCCTCCTCCTCCTCCTCCTCCTCCTCCTCCTCCTCCTCCTCCTCCTCCTCCTCCTCCTCCTCCTCCCAGCGCGGCTCGTCCATAAGGTGCTTGGGTGCGATGCGTGCGTGGGAAAAGCCCCCGCTGCCGCTGCTGGCCGCGCCAGCGCACTCAGCATGGAATTCTTCCGCGTCTGACTGCCCTCCGCCTTCTCCCGTCCTTCGCGGCCGCCCTGTCTGTCTACTTCTCCCCCTCTGCACGCCGGCCACTTCGCGTGATCGGTCGCCCCGATCGCCGCCCGCTGGAGCAGCGCGTCTGCCTCGCCGCCGACGGCACAACGCGTGCGGGAATCGGGCGAAGAGAAATATGCACATGCACCGATCCTGGCAAGGCCCATCCTTGACCCAGGATCGGTGCATATGCCTTCCTGGCCAAGGTAGGAGGGCGTATGCACCGATCCTGGGCTCAGGATGGGCCTGGCCAGAATCGGTGTATGTGCATATTTCTTTTTCCTCTAGGGAAACGGCTCCCGCGGCCGCAGGCAGCGCCTCAAGTACGTGGGCCTGCCCACCGCGGACACCGTCGGGCACGCCGCCGAGGTGCTCTCCAAGTACGACGTGCGCGTGGAGCCCGTCGACGTCGACGACGCGGGGCTGCAGGCGGCCCGGCCTGCGGCACGCGCGCGCGCGCGGCGCGTGCGCGCCGAGCCGGCTCGTGGGCGGAAGAAGGGGGCCGGCGGCTCGGGCAGATGTCCCTCGACATCAGAGGAGGAAAAGGTACCCATACCTCTACCCTTGCCTCGTTTTTCCCTTTCTGGGCCTCCTGGGAGGCCCTCGTTGCCACCGCTGGATTCTCGTCGGAATCCTGGTCAGAACGCACCCCAGGAGAGGTCCGGGGAGTAGCGGTATTGGTACCTTTTTGTCTCCCCACTACAGGCGGAATGTTCAAGAACGGTGGGAAAATAGTCTGGTGGCGATTGTTCGTGCTCCTTCGGCCGTGTCCGGTTGCTTCCTGACTGTGCTCGATGGTTTCTTCCAAGGTCCGCCTGCAGGAGGACGTGCCCGACCCAGCGCGAGCTGCACCGGCGCCTGTTTGGAGGGGCAAGCGTGGATCAGCCACGTGCAGAGGGGGGTGGGGGAGGCTTCTTGGAAGCACCCATGGTTCTCAGAAGGCGCGGGCCTCATCTATAGATGTCAGGCCAGTGCCTTCTAAGAAGCAGCCTCCTTCTAAGAAGCCCTCCCCCTCCCTCCACCACCTTGTGCGCACCGCCAGGTGGAGATGGGCAGCGAAAAGGGAGAAGGCCTTCTCAGAAGGCGGCGGGGCTTCTCAGAAGGCCTCGGTCCGTCGAAGGGGCCTCCTGCGTCTTCGGGGGAGGCTCGGGAGACGTCGCGGAAGGCGGGGGCGGACTCCCGAGCCCCCGGGGAAGGCCCGCCCCTCCTCGCTGCGCCCCGCCCGTGCTCGCACGCGTGCTCGCCGCCGAGAGGGGGGCGGCGGACGCTGGCGGACGACACTGGGTCGTGCTCTCTGGATTCGGAGCAGCCGTTGGGGCCCCTTAGGGCCGTTGGACCCCCAGAGCACACAACAAACCACAACATCGACGCATCGGGCCACAGGAGGGCCTCGAAACGCCACGGAGCAGCGCGTCTGCCCCGTCTCTCCCTCGGGCCGCGGCTCGATCCTTTCGAACTCTGTCCAGTTGCTCGTCCGAGGGCTGTACAAGGAGGAAAAGGAGGAGGAGGAGGAGGAGGAGGAGGAGGAGGAGGAGGAG